ATGCAGGCCAACCAATCGATGCTGGTGGGGGTGCCCAAGACTCAGAGGGCCAGGGCCCTCTCCTCTTAAGCTAGCCTAACTGCTGTGTGACCTTGGGCCACCGCGGGGCCTCTCTGGGCCTCACTTTTCCCATCTCTTCTTCCGGGGAAGCCCCGGGTAAATTTATAACCCAGCTCCAGGTTTGCTGCCTCGGAAGGTGCTAGCAAGGCCACAGAAGCCTCACCTGAAAAACAGCTTCCGCACCCCAGCCGCAGGGAGGCGGATTATGTAACTGGGTGTGCGGCGTGTGTGTTGGGGGGGGGGCGCGGGGCGGGGCGCTCGCGGCTATTCCGGGCGCCGCTATTTTTAGCCCCATTGATGAGGCTGCGTCGGCCGCCGCCGCCGGGATTCCGGAGACGTCAATGGGCGCGCGTCACGGTCCCCTCCCGCCCACCGGGGGAGGCGCGCCCGGGGCTGGGACGGCGGCGCTGGCGGCCGCGGGCTGCGGGGGCGGGGGGCGCGGCCGCAGCCGGAACTGCGGGGCGGGGGGCTTCCCGGGGTGGGGGGCTCGGAGCCGCGGCGGCGCGGCTGCAGGAGCGCGCGGCGGCGGCGGCGGAACTGGTGGGGGCCCCCGTGCGGCGCCCGCGACCCCCGGCCTCCCGGCTTGGGCGCCCCTGCGGTGCGGAGCAGCTCCCCGCCGGCTGGTGCGCGACCCCGGAAGGCGGGGGTGCAGAGGCGAGCAGAGCTCGGCGGGCCAGGTGAGGGGGGGGCTGGGTGAGGAGGGGAGGGGGCCCCCGGGAGAGGCCCGGGAAGGATGGGGTCTCCGCGTAGGCAGTGGGGTGGGCCCGGAGCCACGCTGGGCGTCCTGCTGGGGATCGGGGCTGTGTTGGGTGCGGGGAGGGAAGGACTGGATTCCCAGAGGAACCCGCTCGCTCCGAGTCAGCCCCCGAGTGCGGCGGCCAAGGCTTTCTCTCCCCGGCCGGCCAAGGGTGGGGTTTGGCCCGCGAGGGGCGCTGGAGGTGGCCAGGCAGGAGAAATTCCTTCCATTTCCCCGCCGGCTGCGGGGAATGGGTTCCAGGAGTTCGGGGGGGGAGGGACCAGACTCGCCCTGTGCAACCCCTTCTTGGGATTGAGTGAAGAAATCGAGCCCGGAGAGGGTCTCGTAGAGTCAGGAACGGACCTGGGATTAGAAATGCTGCAGAAGTGGCATTTACAGTGAAGCATTAATTTGGATTGGGGGCTAGTTAGCGTTCGGGCATGCTGAGAAAAGGAAGGCTGGGCAGAGGTAGGTGTCTCCATAACAGTTGTGCCCAAAGGGTGCTGATGGATTAGGGGGCTGATAACAGCCTGGACAGGGGCTTCAGTGGCGGCTGCAACCGTGGTCCTACCCCCACTCCAAGTCAATGTTTAGATCAGTGACTTGAATGAAAACTTAAAAGGGAAGCGGGCTGACTCTTTGTAAAGGCCTAGAGCCAAGGGGAATGACAGGTGTACAATAGGATAAAATCAAGATTCCAAATGATGGCAGCCAGGTAGAAGGATGGACCAAGATGAACAAGATGAATGTGACTGATTATAAATATTGGGGCCGGTGCTGGAGTGAGGAAAATTAGCTCAGGAGTTCAGGCCTAGGGGCGCCTGGGTGGCTCAGTCGGTTAAGCGTCTGCCTTCTGCTCAGGTCATGATCCCAGAGTCCTGGGATCGAGGCCCGCGTCGGGCTCCCTGCTCAGTGGAGAGTGTGCTTCTCCCTCTCCCTCTGCCTGCCTCGCTGCCTACTTGTGCTCTCTCTCTATCTCTCTGTCAAATAAATAAATAAAATCTTAAAAAAAAAAAAGTTCAGGCCTAGTGTCTGGCTCTAGGGCGCAGGAACCCAGGGCCTGGAGCTTCCCACTTGCTTTTTGGTGTTAGCTGCCAAACTGCTCCATGCAATCTGAGACCTCTATCCACTAGAGGAGTCTAGGAGGGGAAGAAGAATGCCTGGCCCGGGGCTCCCTGGTCGGGGACCCCTGGGTTCTAATCCTGGCTTTGCCACTTCCTAGCTGTGTGACCTTCAGCAAGTTGCTTAGTATTTCTGTGCCTTAGTTTCCCCATAGGGTAAAATGTTCATTATGGTAACTGCTTCCTCATAGTGTTGTGAGCTTGCAATGAGAAAGTGCATGTAAAGTGCTTAGTAATGTATCTAGCACATGGTGTTCAGTAAATATTATCTGCTGTTATTATTGTTAATACTAGTAATATGCCCATTTCTGGGTGGGGACTTGGCCCATGCAGAGCTTACATCCAGGAAGGCACCGGGGCTGCAGAGGGTCCGCCAGCCATGTCCTGTGGTGAGGAGGAGCGGAGTTAAAAGACAAATACTTGATAGGAAGGAGGGGAAGGAAGGAGGTTTCCGGCGGGCCCAGGCAGAGCTGGGATCCAGGCCTGGGGCTTTTGGAGTCAGGGTTGTAGCTCGGCATAGGGATGAACCCTCAGACTTTGGATCTGCCCTCCAACGGAAGGGCCAGTTGCTTAGCTCCAGCATTCTCCCCACCTCCTTCCAAGCAGCGGGCTGGTCCTCTCAGCCCAGTCCTGATGCAGGCGCGCGTGAGTCCGCTTCTCCCACATTCCTCAAATACTCCCTGAGTACTTACTAGTGCTGAGCTCTATTTGGGCGACTGAAGACCACAGAGATTGAGACAGCCCAGTGAACAGCATTAGTCCTGTGGAGCTAATAAAAATAGGTTACTAGGTGGGGGTGGGGGTGGACGCTCTCCAAGGAGGTGGAATGGGACTGGAAACCTGACTGCTGAGAAGAAGCTAAGCATACAGACATACTGGGCAATGACTTTCTTGGTAGAAGGAACAGCCAAAGCAGTGGTCTGACGGGGGGGGGGGGAAAGTAAGCCCATGTGCTTGGAGCACAGCAAGGGAGGGGGAGCGAGAACGGCGTCCTGAGGTCTGGCCTGAGGTTCCCACACCATTTAGGGGACATCACACTTTTCTCCTCCAAGCCCCCATCGGCCCTAGGTTCGCTCTCTGCACAGTGCTGAGTGTAACTGACCTTGATTCATTCCCCCATCGGAACCTCCTGGGGCCCGGAGATGTAGGTTTGCTCCTTCTCGGATCTCCTGTGGTTCATGGCTCACTGCCTGGCTCACAGTAGGCCCTCAGTCAGTGCTCCCAGAGGGAATTTTGGTCTGAGACAGGAGATGGGTTCTAAGATGTTATGAAGCAGTTTTTGGGCATGACCTGGGTCGCTGACTCTGGCCCCTATTCTCAGAAACAGGAAGACCTGGGTGCTCAGGGCCAGCCTGACTGTGGTGGCAGGTGTTGGCCCTTCCTGCCCTTCCTCCTCAGTAGTGGACTGGTAGGGAGAGAAGGGAAGGTTGTGGAGGGGAGCGCGGAGCCTTACTGCAGACCTGTTTCCGGGGTGTGGGAAGATGACAGTGTCGTTCTGGCAAGCAGGTGTAGCCTGTGGGCCAGGGCAGGTCTGAAGCCTGATCTTGCCTTCTCTGAGGGGCTGGAAGCCCTCCAGCTGTTCTCGACTTCTCCCCTCCCTGTCTCTCCTGCCACCTTCACTCCCTGCTCTCCATCACACCCACAGGAGCGTGGGAGTGCTGGTAGCTGTGTAAGAGGAGAATCCAGGTACCATGGTCCAGAGTAGCTTCCATTAACCCGAGGACCCTGGGGCAGAGGTCAGGAGGGCAAGGAAGCCCATCACCCCCCCCCCCCGGGGCCCTCCTCCTCCTCCTTACTCCCTCTACCTCCCACCATGGGAACATCTGCTTTTCTTTTCCCACACCTCATCTTGGCCTGTAGGGCACCTGGTCCTGCTCTCACTCTGGGGCTCAGTTGAGAGAGAGGGCTGAATTAGGGTGGAAAAAGGGAAGGAGAGATGTGGGGTCTGGAGTACCCTGGCTGAAGGAGGCTGTGGCACTGGTGAGAGGTCGGACAAGAGCTTAACAAGGCTGGAAGGGTGGTGCTCACATTTGGCTCCAGAAGTGGAGGCCAGGTGCCCAGAAGTGGCTTGAAATAAAAACCAGGGTCTGGGGCTGGCTCTGATGTGTCCTCATTTAATTTCTCCTGATAATGGTAGTGCTATCATATGTGTATCTGACACTCTTTTATGTCCTTCACGTATGAACTCATTTTAAGCCCCACCATAGCTCTGTGGTTGTTAATTTCAGAGATGTCAATTACAGATTGTCATTTTCACAGTTGAGGAACAGGAGGCACAGAGAGATTTTGTAACTTGCCCAAGATGACAAGTGACAGAGCCAGGATTTGAACACAGGCATCTGGATCCAGCGTCTGTGCCCTTAACCACTTCACTTCAAGCTGGGTCTTCGTGTTTGGGGACTGGAGTGCCTTCACAGAATATTTCCTGGGAGTCCCCATTGCTCTGGTTAGAAGGCTGAGCTGCCTGGAGATGGGGCGATTGAGCCCCTGCCCTGTGGGGTCCTCTGAGGCTTTAGGGGCCAAGTTGGAGCCTTCTAAGGAGAGAGGGGTATTTTGCCCTGTCCTCACAGTAGCTCCCTTTTCTCTGCCTACAAAATGCCCTTTTATGCGCAGCAGGGCCAAGTGCTGGACTGAAGCCCCCTCTCCCCTCCCCACCGCCGACAACCCAGGAGTGGGGCAGGAGACTGAGGGGCTGGATGCTGGCATGTGTCTCTGTGGCCCTGAGATGGCCCAGATACTGTCAGCAGTTCCTGATCACGTCCCACATCCCCAAGAACTGTTTGCCTGGGGTTCTGTGTGCCCCCAGGTTCTGCTGGCCAGCGCAGGGAACTCCCTGGGCTGGCTTGTTGCCTCTCATGGCCTGGGTCCTGCCCCTGTTCCTACTCCTGTGTTTCCTGGCTGTGCTGCCTCCAGGGAATGTCCCTGCTGACTGGTTCCTCCGCACTCACACTGATTCTCCCTCTGTAGGCTTCCACCATGGACAGAAGCCAGCCCTGGTCCCTCTCTGGTGTCCCAGCTCCTTCTGCCAGGCCCTGGGGGCCCAAGGGATGGTTGACTGTTGTCCGAGGTCTGTTGGTTCATCCAGACTGGTAAGTGCTCTACTGTTGTCCTCTGTACACCGCTGGGGCCTTCAAGCAGGTCGGGCTGGGGGGCAGAGGTGGGTGTGGAGCTGCCCTAAGCAGATGTGGTTTCGGGGACGGAGGGGGAAGCCCTACAGAGGTGGCAGGTGAGGTGCTGCTCAACTTGGGGAGATCTGATTTCTTCAGTGATGGAGGTAATGTGGGGGTGGGAAAAGGGGACGCCTGGCTTTCTTAGCAGGATAGGCTGGGGGACTCTGGGCCTGGGCCACACCAGCATGGGCTGGTGTGGGAGGAGAGGGGCAAGGGTGTGGGTGAATGACCACGGTTACCAAGGCAGCACAGTCTGGTGCTGATGGGGTGGGGCTAGATAGCTCAAGCAAGGCTGGGAGTATAGCGGGGCGGCCTAGGGGATGGGAAGTTGGCTTGTTTCTAGGGCGTGCACCAAGGGAGTGCATGAGGGAAGGCTGGGATCATCTGCCCCCTAAAAGGGCGATGACCACCCCTGTCCTACTATGGTGGGTCTGTATGGGGAAGATCTTGTTGACAAAGGGTGTGATAGACCCTCCACGATTCACCGAACATCCTTGAGGGGGAAAATCTCAGACTTGTGGCCGTGGCCAGAGGGATTCTAGGCCATCTGGTTCACCTTCTTTTATGGATGAAGAAACTGAGTTACAGAGGGGAGAAGTAACTTTTCAAGATCCTATAGTGAGGACGTGTAGAGCTAAGCTTAGAATCAAGGTCTCCCAGAGGCCTGGTTGGCTGGTGGAGGACACACCTTCCTTGCCTGAGGACGCTTCTGGAGAAGATCTGGAGGTGAGGGGTGGAGTGTAGGAATGGAATTTCTACCAGGTCTTTCCCATGGGATCTCAGACACTAGGATGGGGCCGAGGGCACCACAATCCCGGTTACCATGTTTACCTGAGAGAGCTGGAGTTCACCCTGGCACCCTGGCCAGGGACCTGTGATTGCCTTTTTCCTTTCCCAGAACGGAGGGCTGTCTCTGAACCACAGCCCCCTTCAGGCCTTGAGAGATCCCTAGATGAAGGAGGAGCTGGTTCTGTATCTCGCCCGGCTGCCCAGACACTGTTGCCTCATGGGGAGTAGGTGTTCAGGGCACAGGGAGTCCCACGGAGGTGGCTGCGATGGGGGAGGCCGGGGTGGCCAGTGTGAGCCCTGGTGGAAGGAGGGGAGGCCCTGGGAAGCAGGGCCTCCTGTTCCAGGGGCTCGGCTGGGTGTGCACCTGGCTGCCTGCTGGCAGCCGGCTCCGTGCCACCAACCTTGGGCTGGGGGCAGGGAGGGGAATTACTGTAAGTGGGAGAGGCAGGTGTCCCTGGTCAGCCGGGGATCTGGACTCGGGAGGCACATGAGTGAAGATGACAGCAGCGGGCCAGATGGCTTCCCCCAACCCGGCCCCCACCTCTGCCGTCAGCTCAGACTGCCTCCTGAGCGCCCAGCCTTCCTCTCTGGGTACAGAGTGGCCCCCGTGGGCAGAATTCCGTGTGTTCAGCTCGTTGTCTGGGTGATGGTGGTGACTGGGTGGAACTCTCATGCCATATCCACTGCCAAGGCCACCCCGAGGGGCTGCCAACCGGGGCCCCGTGAGTGCTAGAGCTATTGGTCTTGTGACGTGGGCACCTGTCTGCCAGGCCTGGGCACGAGCCCAGGGTCATGCTCACGCCGGGGCTCCCGTCAGCTGACTATTTTGGGCTCTTGCTGACCTGGGCCAAAGTCAGGCTTCAGCCAAGAGGGCCCTGAGGCAGCTCCCTCTGTCCCCAGAGGCCGGCTCTGTTTCGGCTACATAAGCAGAGGAGGACATGCTGGCTTGGAGACAGCTCCATGTCCTAAGTCCTCTCAGCTGGTGCATAGCCCTGGCCGGGCAGGCCGGGCTGACCGGGCAGTCCCGTCTCTTTCCGCAGGGCTCCCTGAGGCTGCCAGGAAGAGCCCCTGACCAACCCCAGGATACGCGCCTGGTGCAGTTGTCCAGGATCTCTGAGAGTCTAAGCAGATCGTGAAGAGATAGCTGGTGAGTCTTAGGGATGGGGAAACTGAGGCATGGGAGCTGGGCTATTTGGATCTTTTTCCATTGTGACCATCTGTGTTGTGGTTTCTTTGGCCTTCAGAGGAGGGGGGCGGAGGAGGAAACGGGTGGCTGACCTTCCCGAGGAGTGAGAGTAAAGCTCGACCTGAGTTGGGTAGTGGTGGAAGTCACATTTGGGAGCACGCCGTGATCAAGAGCTGGGAGATATGGGAAGAGACAGGTGCTGCCATCTCTCTCCTTCCTTGGAGATTTCCACCACGCTCTCGGGCCTCCTCTTCTGTGACCCAGCCTGGATGAGGCACTGGTCGGCTCGGGCTGGGGAGGGATGCTGGAGTGAGCTGGGTGGCCATCAGGGGACCACTGCATTGGTCCCCGAGGAGGGTCCCTGAGCCCCCCAGCTGGTTGGGACTCGGGGACTTGGCTTCCCTGAGCCCTCAGCCCCTGTCCTGCTCTCCTTGCCTGGCTTCCCAGCTGGTCTTGGTGTCTGTGAAGCAGGGCTGGAGCGAGGTCTGGCAAGTCTGCCAACCATCTTGCCACAAACACGCTCCCCGGGCCCCGGGCCAGGGGTTGCAGCTCGGCATGGAATAAGTGGCAGCCCCTTACGTGGGAGGCTCTTGTGCTCTCCTTCTCAGTTCTCAAAAAAAATTTTTTTCCCCTTTCTGAACGTGAGTCTCTAAATGAATCCAGAGCCTGTGACTAAAAATACTTTAACAATAGGAAAATGCATCAGTTTTTCCGGCTGGGGCTCGTTATCAGAGGGTTTTTATTTTGGAATTTGAAATTTTGCCCAAGGAGGCTGGGTGGAGACCTTGGGCAGGGGCAGGAGAATTTGGTGGGTGGTGATGTTCTGCAAGGTGGTGGGAGGCCCTCCAAGGGTGGAGGAGAGGAGCTGGCCAGGAGCTGCGCAGACTGGGGGGCATGGAAGGAGGTTCGAGGAGGGTGCAAACAAGGCGTAGGCCGACCTTTCCCAAAGGCACTCCATGATCTTGTATGCCTTTTTCCAGCGCCATCTGGCTCTTTTTCCCGAAGTCTGATCTTACTCTTTTGTGCTGTCTGTGAATACCTCCTAGCCTGAGAGGGAGGTGAGGGTCGAGAAATCCCTGGACCAAAGACAGCCTCTGTGGAGAGAGGCCTGGCCTCCTTAACTCACAAGCTTTCTCCAGAGTATTAATTGAGCACTTGCTGCATACAGGGTCTGGAATTTTCCCAGTGCTGGGTGGAGCCACATCTCTGGGCACACTCTCATTTCCTTCCACTCAGCCATGGAGGGGGGAGAGGTGGGGATGGGGTTACTGTTCTCCAGTTCTTGAAGAAGGGGTGCTGGCTCCCCAGTATAGCTGAAGACCCTGGTATCTCCTTTCCCAGCCTGCCCTCCCTGTCCCAGGATCCTGCTGCAGGTCCCTAGAGTTCAGCTTCCCAGGCAGGGTTCCATTTCACTGGTGAGCCTCCCCCTTCCCTTAACCAGTTGAATTCTCACACCCCTGGGAGTGTGATGTCTGCACTGGGCAGATGAGGAACAGTCTCGGAGAGGGCAAGGGACTGGCCCCAGGGCACACGCCAGGCTTGCTGGCTCCTGGTCAGAGGTGGCTCTGGGAGGGAGCTCCTCCATCTTTTGTCCCTGCTGGGGTTGGGGTGAGAGGCGGGGGGCAGTGGCTTACCTGCCCACATCCTTGGGAGTCTGTTGTCAAGGAGGTATCAGCATGTGTGGTTGTGGCAGGGCCTGGGTGAGGGCCAGGAGATCAGAGCCAGAGGCCTGGGCCTGACCCTGCATCCCCAGTTGCCAGACCTGTCCATGGGAAGCCCCCCGGGTAGTAGGTACTGCTTCCTTGCCCACAGCACAAATCCCCCTACCCACTGCCAAGGCAGGAAGAGGAAGTGGCCAGGTCAGGGCTGGCGATAGATAGGTCCTGGGGCCGAGGAGGGGAAGCTCCTGTGGCGACTTCTCAGCAGGAGGAGGCAAAGCTCACTCCTTCTGCCCACCACGCGGGAAGGGTGTGGAGGCCTGTGGGTGGGGTTGGTCTCGGTGAACGTAGGGCAAGTTCCTGCCCTCTGTTAGGGGGTGTGGAGGGTGGCGCTGCCCAAGGTGGGGAGCAGTGTGGGAAAGGGGCTGTGCATTTCCACTTCCTCCATCACCCATTTACCCAAATGAATGATGGTGGACATTGGCTGCCCATTTGGGGCCTGCCCTGGGCTAGTTACTATTGAAGATGCATGAAGGCTCCCCCCCCACCGAGGTTGGGGAGACAGGACCTTGCCCTCATGTTCACACGTAGCTGGAGGAGGGATGAGTCAGCGCATAAGTCCCTGGGCCCCATAAGATCTGACTCGGAGGGGCAAGGGCTTAGTGCGTGCTTCAGAAAACATCCTGTGTGAAGACCCCTTTCTAATGGGAGATATGGCAACCTCTCCTAACCGTGCGATAGAACAAATACATAATGGGAAACAGGCACTGTTCTCTGATTTCAGCAACACACACTTGAATGAATTTGTACTCGATGAATTCCAGCAGCATCTGTGTCTATGTGGATAAATAAGTCTTGCCCGTTTAGGCGTGGCTATTTTTTTAAATAAACTTTGGTTTTTGAAAATATACATACAGAAAAGTGCACAAATCTAGGTGTGAAATCTTAAGAATAGAGTGTGATGACTTTTCCAGGGTGAACACACCTGGCTGATCGTTGTCCAGGTTGGAAACTGTAATGCTTCCAGTCCCACCAAAGACCCCCTCATAGGCACTGCTGTTTTCAGTTTACAGGCTGTGTGTTTTTTTTTGTGTGTGTGTGTGTGTGTGTGTGTGTGCGCGCGCGCGCGTGCACGCCCGTGTCCACGCATGTGCACTTACGCACACCTGGTTCTGTGGTGCACTTAGAAGCCACAGTCTGCAGCCCACAGTGGGGGCCGTGGGTCCAGCACAGACCTGAGAGTTAGGGGACCTGCATTTGAGTCCTGCCCCTGAGCCTCCGTCCCCTCGTTTATGGGTCACAGTTCTAAACCTGGAGGGTTGAGGGGTGAGTTTAGTGGAAGAATCCATGCGAAGTGCTGTGGACTGAGGTCTGACCCTTTATTGGTGTTCCCCATAACTCTCCTCACCTGTGAGAAGGTGCTTGTTATTAAGAGTTAGGCTGGGGGAGGGGTATGGCTTGAAGTCTTGGAGGATGGGCAGGATTAGGGCAGAAGGGAGGAAGAGAGGTCACTCTGCCCACCAAACGGTGGGAAGTTTCATCCAAGGTCCTTTTATGGGAGCAGCGGGGAGCTGGGGGTAATGAGGGCAGGTTGGTGCACTGAGCCAGGCTGTGGTCTCATCTCCAGCGCGACATCTCACCCTGCGCTGCGCTTTTTGTGTTATCATGGTCCTGCCTTACCTTCTGGTCCTTGCCTCTAGTTTTGGATCTCTCTCCCATTATTATGTCCTTCATCATTACCTGTCCCCTCCCACCCCACACCTCCCTCCACAAGGGGCTGTTTACCCTGACCTTGCTCTTGAGGGCTGGACTTCGAGATCCCTTGGGAGCCTGGGAACAGCTTACGCTCCAGGCCTCCCAGGGTCTGCATTAATTGTGCCTTTCCCCAGAGTTCCACCTTAGCCAGATTCCACTCTCCTCAGAGCCCCAGGACACCCTGGAGGGCCTCTGGCCAGCAGCGATGAGACCCTGTGTCCCAAAGACCCTCATGCCTCTCTCCCCTCTGCCTTAAGGTAGGTGCTCCACGTGGGTGCCTGAATGGGTGGCCCTGGCTGTGCTCCCACAGAGGGACTCTGCCTTTTTCTCCTTATTTACTTATTCTCAGAGCGCAGTGTATACAGACCCTGCAGCATCCCTGCCCCCACAAACATGGCCAGGTGGCCGATGCAGTTGTCTTCCCCTCTCTCTGCCTTTGGGGCAGTGAGAAGGGAGTCTCCAAAGCTGCAGTATCCTGGCGAGGTGGGGCCTGGGCTGTAGGCTCACACCTGGAGGCTCATGCTGAGGTTTGGAGATGTAGGCCAGGGCCTTGGGCAGCTCCTCACCACACTTAGTTCCCTGGGGCTCCTCGGTGGGCTGGCCCTGTGGGAAGGTAGGGAAGGTCTGTGTTGCTTTTTACAAGTGGAGAGTGGTGGGGAGGACCAGGGGGGCACCAGGGCTCAAGGCTGGCTCAGCTCTCAAAGAACTGGTAAGGCTGGGCTTGAGCACAGATTGATCAAGCAGCAGCTAATACACCTATTAGGCTGGTGCGGGATGCAGGGAGCATTGACTTGGCTAATCATATTTTTCTGATTAATTTTTTTTTTTTTTTGAGGAAAGCCCTACTGGGGTGGAGGGAGGCATTCCAGAGTGGGGTGACGGGCTGTAGGTGGGAAGCCAACCCATGATGTGCGGGGGCTAGCTTCACCAGCCCAAACTTGCTGTGTACTTCTGAGCAAGGTGCAGCTCCTCTGGGAACCCTTGGGTCCTAATCTGCAACATGGG